AAATAAGAGCGCAGTATAGTTGTTGAGTACAAGAGCAGTGACAAAAATTTAACCTCTCTCTAAAATGGGAGCTTCTCTCTCTAAAATGGGAGCAGCCTCACCACAATGTGAGAAAAAAATTTCATACAAAAATCTGGCCTGTGAAATTCAAGCAACCTTGTCAAACAAGGAAAGGGCTAGAGTCATAAAGGAGATCAATCTTTTTGGAAAGAAATCCAAAGATGAGAGGCAGATCTTTGACACTTGTAGATCCGGAGTGGACTAGTAAGTGGGGAGAGTAAACGTTGCCCAACCACTGGGCTCAAAAGGAGTAATGGTGAGTGTTGGTTACCTGATGTTGTTTATATGGGAAGTATTTCTAGTCATTTGGTTTCATTGCTGGGTCTATTTTTTCCAAGACAACAAACAATTTCTCTTTTCCTGGAGCCTACCCGCAAGCCTAGTTGTTCTTAGAAAGTTGCTTTCCCAAAAACAACAAAATACCGGCCAACAAACAAACACTTGTAAGAAATCTTCCCTCTCTGTTTCATGCTTTGGAGGATTGTGGTATAAGATGGCAGAAGCTTGTGTGGAAGATCTGGTAATAAGGTTGGAGGAATCACTGGGAATATCGAATCTAGAGAGTGGGCCAAAACTGGTAGGAGCAATCATAGCAAGGGAAATTCCTAAACAGAGGAGCCATAAAAACCATTCTCCAGAATGCGTGGGCTATATTTGGAAAAGCAAAAATTTCTCACAATAAAGATAATCTTTTCATTGTGGTGGTCCAAGATGAAGGCATGGCTGACCAGATTATCAATGATGGTCCCTAGTCTGTAATCAGGTTCTGTTTCAATGTTCAACGTTGGCCAAGTAACATGGTCATTGAGGAACTCCCGCTCCATAAGGAGGCTTATTGGATTCAAGCTCACGGGATCCCTTTGAATCTACTCACTGCAGGGAACGCTCTACAGATTGGTGAAAAGTTCGGAGAGGTTAAAGAAGTTGAAGACCCTTGGGAGAAAGGCTCCAGAGGCCGGAGACTCCAATATTGCTTTCTTCCACCATAGCACTCTCCAACGAAGGAGGAGAAACAGAGTTAGCAGGATTAAAGGCGTGAATGGGGTCTGGGGGGAAAATGTTAGTCAAGTTCGAATGGCTTTTGAAGACTACTTTAAAGGCTTTTTCTCAGCTGGGGGTAGAAGAGATTGGGGGAATGTTCTTGCTTTTATATCACCTGTGATAACTGGACAAATGAATGATAGCCTGTGCAATCTAGTGTCAGACGGGGTGCCGGGTCCCAACGGATTTTTTGGAATATTCTACCATAATTATTGGGAAACAATCGAAGGGGATTTATGCAAGTTGGTCAAAGATTTTTTCAAGGGTAAATCTTCGGTTCATAGTTTAAATATGACAGAGATTGCTTTAATTCTTAAGGTCCCAAACGCAGAAGTTGTTACTCAGTTCTGGCCTATAGCTTTATGTAACTTCTCATATAAGATCATCTCAAAGATCCTTGCTAATCGATTGAAGCCAATTCTAGCAGAGATCATATCCCCCCAACAGAGTGCCTTCATCCCTGGAAGACAAATACAAGACAATATTCTGATAGCACATGAGGCTTTTCATGCCTTTAAACTTCGGAAAAAGACAAAGGTGTATGAGATGGGTCTCAAGCTAGATATGAATAAGGCCTATGACAGAATTGAGTGGGATTTTGTGAAAGAAGTGTTGCAAAAATTGGGGTTTCATCGAACGTGGGTGCGCCTGGTTATGGGGTGTATCACCTCGGTTCGCTTCGTTGTGCTTTTAAATGGTAAAGCTGGAATCCTCTTCAAGCCTTCTAGAGATCTCAAACAGGGAGATCCTATTTCCCCGTATATTTTCATTCTGGTCAGTGATGTCCTATCATCAATGCTAAATAAAGCAGTGGAGGGAGGTATAGTCCAAGGGATCAAGTTTAGAGGAGACGGTCCTACTTTATCCCATTTATTTTTTGCGGATGATGCTCTTTTGTTCTTAAAGGTCACTGAGGAAAATTGCACTGCCATTGAAAGGATTTTGACTTCTTATTGCCAAACGTCAGGGCTTAGGGAGAAGGTAGGGCACATATTGCATGTCAACACTACTGATAACCTAGGGAAGTACTTGGGTTTACCAACGATGTGGGGAAGATCAAAGCTAGAGGCGCTGAATTTTGTGAGAGAAAGAATGTTAAGCAAAGTGGAGGGCTGGAAGCAGAAACTCCTTACTCAGGCTGGTCGAGAAATCCTTATTAAAGCCATGGCCCAAGCAATTCCCACTTATCCCATGTCTGTGTTCCTTTTCCTAAGTGGTCTTTGCAAAGAGTTGGATGGGATGCTTGCTAAATTCTGGTGGGGGGAAAATAAGAAAACGATAAAATCCACTAGATTAGTTGGGCGGAGCTGGGAATGACAAAAATGGAGGGTGGTATGGGTTTCCGTAACATTCATGACTTCAACTTGGCTTTACTTGCAAAATAGAGCTGGAGATTGATTACTGAGCCAAATTATTTATGGGCTTTGATCATGAAAAGCAGATATTCCCTTCGAGCAATTTTCTTCAAGCCAGCAAAGGTGCTCGTGCATCTTGGGCATGGGCCAACATTTTAGTGATTGTAAGGGGTTCACATTGGCAAATTTTAAATGGCACAAGTGGTTTCCTGTGTCGCATGATGGTTTTCTTCTTCTGATGGTTTGCTTCACCCATAAATGACGAGCTTGTGGATGAAAATGACTTTGTGTCTGAAATTATAAACCCCATCACAAAAACGTGGGACTTATCAAATCTCAATGGCAGTATATCTGATCAGGATGCTCAAAGGATAAAGGCCATGCCTATTGGAGGAGGTTGCGAATCCGACAAGTTGGTTTGGCCCTACAATAAGGCTAGTTGGTACTCTGTCAAATCTGGATGTAATTTGATTCACCCTTGCCACCATCCCACTCAAAGAAATCTGCAAGCTTCGGGGTCTCACTTTGTTTCTGAGAAGGTGTGGAAGTTAATTTGGTGTTCCCCTTTGCTCCCAAAAATTAAAAACTTTTTGTGGCGTGTGATTAAAGGTTGTCTTCCCACAAATGCCCTCCTCTTCCGTAGGCATTTGGGATCCTCCCCCTTGTGCCCGATTTGTGAAAATGCTCCGGAAATTGTGGAGCACTTATTGCTGCACTGCAGTTGGACATCAAATGTTTGGTTTGGGAGTTCGCTAAACTACCGAGTGGATATACAAAGTATTACTACTTTTGATGAGTGGTTGATCGGTGTGACTAGTTAGTTGGATAAGTCTAATCTTAATTGGATGTTGGTCCAAATTAGTCTTATATGCTGGAGCTTGTGGAGGAGCAGATGTGCCTTTGTTTTTTAAAGAAAAAATGTTTGTCCAAAGCAATCTATTGAGTGGGCCAGGCTTTTCGCTCTGGAGATGATGGAGGTTGTAAACTTTAATGGTCTTGGTGTGGAGGAGACAAATCCTCAATGTTTCTGTCCAGAGATGGCTCCCTCCCCCCCACTTTACTCTAAAGCTAAATGTGGATGCGGCTTGGGACAATGAGACCTTAATTGCTAGTTTAGGAGCTGTCATTCGGGATAAAAATGGTAGATTCGTAAGGGGAGCTAGAATGGTCAGACTAGCCTTTTCTCCCATTGAAGCTGAAGCCCATGCAGCCTTAAATGGCCTGGTGGTCGCCTCGGATTTGGGTAGCATCCACCTAGAGTGTGAGTCTGATTCAAAGCATAAAGGGGAATATTCAAAATGGTAGATGGACAATCTACCCAATCCTTGCAGCAATAAAGGAAAAAAGCAGACTATTCGGTTCTTGCTCCTAGAAGTGGATGCTGCAGCTCTTGAAGCAAAGAGGAGGATGTGCGATGAGGTCTAGCTCAACAGACCCCCATCCTCCCTGGTGTTCGTTCTACAAAGTGATGGCCTTCCCTCTCCTCCACAAATCTAAGGTTTTTTAGCCCAATTAGGAACTGACGCTCGTCTTCTAGGGCGGCATCCTAGTTTGCTTTGTCCTAGCTGGTTGGTGGCTTATTTTTTGGGTTAGGCTGGTGTAGTCGGCATGCGTGGCTCCTTGTAATGCTCCCTGGGGTTTTACAGTTGTTAGCCTGGTTTCTGGTTTATTTGGTGCTGTATCTTGGTTGTATTTGGGCTGTGCCCATCCTTTCCCTTTCGTTAATGAAAGTGTGTTTCGACCAAAATAATAATAATAATAATAATAAGAGCGCAATTTCTCCAATGCAAAAACAACAAGAAGTAATTCTTTTTCAATGGTAAAATAATTAATTTGAGCATTATTAACGGTGCAATTCACATTCTGAATAACACAAGGCACTTTATTTACCCTTTCTCCTAGAACAACACCTATGACATAATCAGAAGCATCACACATTATTTCAAAGGGTAAAGACCAGTTAGGAGGCATAATAATAGGTGCCATAGATAATTTCTCTTTCCAAGTATTGAAGGCATTAAGGCAATTTGTATCCAAAATTAAAAAACAGCATCTTTGGCCAATAAATTGCACAAGGGGCAAGTAATTTTGAAAAAAATCTATAATAAATCTTCAATAAAATCTTGCATGACCCAAGGAGCTTCGCACTCCCTTTACAGAAGTAGGGGCAACAATTTTTCAATTAAATAAATTTTTTCCTTGTCATAATATGTCCCAAAACAATACCTTGACTTACCATGAAGTGGCTCTTCTCCTAGCTCAATGTCAAATTAATCTCTACATGTCTCTTAAGCACCAAGGTTAAATGTTCAAGGCAAATACAGAAAGAACTTCCAAAAACAGAAAAATAATCCATAAATACCTTGATAAACCTATGTACAAGCTTAGTGGTTGAAGTTAATTCTGCAATAGTTGTGGACCTAATCATTTTTTTCTATAAAAATGTTATTTACTGAGATCATTACACTATTCCAACGCGTTACTAATCCACGTATTATAATATAAGTGGGTGACATGATTTGTATGTCATGGATCCAATATCAAAGGCGGATTTGCATTTGGCCTGGAGTGGGCTCCAACCTAATAGGCTCAATTGTACAAGCCCAACCTAGGTAAATCAAATATCAGCACACCCCTCTGTGTAGAAATAAGCCCACTTATGAACCATCTCTACACCCAACAACAGACGTAGATTTTTTCTTCCTTATTCTAGCCACCCATAACTCCATATTTGGCATCAAGGGGGATTCATTCATGAATATCTGGTCTGCTCTGCTTACACAAGTTCAATAAACATAGACTTGGGAACAACCTAGTAACAAATTATTTATTGTTAACATCTCTCCTTATTGTATGCCAGCCCGAAGCCAAGAGGGTATAAAGGGTCAAATGAATTGTCTCCAGCATTCGTAGGCAGCTGTTCAACCCTTTTAAACCATGTCACTGGGAGCTGGCCCTCGAAATCGTGATCTCCAAAGATAACATCTGCAATTCCATCTCCTTCAGTACCAGGTAACCAGGCAGCAACAAGAGCATCTATCTTTTCCAATAGCCAGGGCTCTAAAACTAAGGGTCTTCCAGAACATCTATCTTTTGTCAGCAACTGAGCTTATGATATCAGCTCCATTCAACGGGATCACAAGCTTTGAATTGTCACCCTTGCCTTCTGCATATGGAGCTTCACCAACAGCTACAATTGCGAAAGTGATATCTTGCCGTGCTAAGGTCTCTGTCGAGGGATACTTCTCATAAATGATTTCTGTATCATCTCCAACTGCCTTCTTAATAGCTTCCAAGATAGTTGTCCCTAAAAATGTTAATGATCTAATTAGTGAGTTGCACATGTGCAATTAAGGCATTGAAAAGATACTAGCATGCAAATTTACCATCTATCAATTTCTTGTTTTCAACAAAATTTTGCTATGAAGAAAAGAAAAAAAAAACTTCTATAACCTGTTTATAATGGTTTTCAAAAATAAAGTTTGCAAAATTCTGGTTCAGAACTTGAAAAATGAAATTGTTTGAGAAAACATGATGCATGCAAGTGAAATTCTAATCTTATTAAGATATATACACACATACACACAGAGACATATGTCACATCGATTATGATAATCAACAATTAGGCTTTCAGTCATAAAAATAGTAGAAAAATAGCAACATAATTCCATACCAATTGTTACCCTTCCACTGCTACCATATTTTGTAGCTGTCCACCCTCCACACTGATTTCCAAGATCATCGGCATGAGTTCCAGCAACGAGTATTCTTTTAGCGTTTCTTTCTAAGGGAAGAAAAGGTTCCATTGGATCCTTTCCATTTTTCAAAAGAACCAATGACCTCCGAACTGCTTCACGTGCTAAATCTCTGTGCATCTGCTCGAGAATCATGGAAATAGAAACTGTTTCATAAGTACAAGATGCTCAAAACAGAATATATGATCAATGGGCCATTTTCAAATGATAACATGCAAAACATGTAGCGGTTTCAATGACGCGAAAATGAGACATGCTGCTCTGAAAATTACCTTGCAACCAACTATGTCCTGCAAAGATGTATCAGTGAAGGGATGTTCAAAAAGACCAGCAACAAACTTCACTCTTAGTATTCTCTCAACAGCATCATCTATCCTGGACATTGGTATCTCCCCAGATTCCACAAGATATATTAATTCCTCAATGAATTGTTCATATCTGAAAGGAACCATGACCTGCATACCTTCTCAGTTAGACAAATGTAGGATCAAGGAAAGCAAATCATTGTTAGGCTTATAAACTTGGAGTTCATATGTACCATGTCTATTCCTGCATTAGCGGCTAACGAAATACATAAACGATAGTTTGAACCTTCAGGTTCACAAAGTTGGTCAATTCCATCCCAGTCAGAAATCACAAATCCCTGCAGCAGAGTACAAAATGATGCTTATCTAGACATACAACATTTAATGTTAGAGAAACTCTGCACTTTGAATAAACCAAGAAAATATATGGAAGGTAACTTGAAGTTCATTCAAATGTTTGCAGAGTTGCATCTTACTGATGACTAGGAAGCATTCAGGATATCAAAATTCTAACATATAGTCCATCACAATATGCAATATTATCTTTATGCTGAAATTACTGATTATAATTAGTTGAGAAGAGACTAATAGGAATCGGAACGGGCCTATTTTCCAGTAGGAAATAGTGCATACTATATATGTGGGTTCCTTACTCTAAAACCTAGCTTCTCTTTCAAGATTTCTGTGAGGAGAAAACTGTGTCCATGTAGTCTCTGTCCATTCCAGCTGTTATAGGACACCATAATAGTGGAAACTCCTTGAGAAATACAGTCTAGATAAGGGCGCATATGAATCCTTTCTAAGTCGTCATAAGAGGATATATTATTGCCCTCATTGACACCTTTCTCTGTACCCCCTTCTCCAACAAAATGCTTGGCAGATGCAATAATGTTGTTTCTGAAATATAACAAAGTAAGAAAAAGTTCAAATATCTGAGATTACTTTCAATGGGACTTAAATATTTGAATACAAGAACATGGTAAGCATAAGTTGTGAACCTCCAAGAACTCGATTTTTCCTCAATTAGTATACAATTTTGAAAATAATTATTTGATTTTATTTGAAACAAAGATGATTGAAGACATGTTATCAAATTCAGATAAGATGCAATATGTTTCATGAAAGAAGTATGCATGGAAAATTATTGACTAATAACTCTTCTTTCACTTTCTACCTTCCTGCTACAAAAGGGTAGCCCTTTGGGTATCCCTGGGGTGGCTGCCCCTGCAAGCCTGAAACAATGGAAGTCATCTTGCTTACAATTTCAGTGTCTTCACTGTAGCTCTCGTAGCATCTTCCCCATCTGGGATCTTTGCACACCTGTCAAACTCAGAATCCATTCAAGTGAATTTCTTCACAAACCCATTCAATTCATGCCTCAATTTATTATCTTACATTTATACCTCAGTTTTATATGCTACAAATTTACCAAAATTGGTGGCTTAAAAGAGTGTAGCAAGAACAAGAAAGACACAAAAGGTTGTAGAAATTTTTTTTTTTCCACATAAGAAACAAATTTTGGAGTTTGAAGTTTTAGTAGATACGCCATAAATTTTGCAATCTGATAAACTGCAGTCTGAACTTGAAACAAATAACGAGTACCGAATCCATAATGACTTACAGCCACACAAGGAGCAAAAGTATAGTGAATGCCACAGGCCCTGGTTTCAAGAGCAGTTGCCACACCAATCCTTCGAGCCAAATCTGCATCCCTATCACACACAAACGCACACAGTTCAAAAGTTAGTGGAAATGGAAGACTACCAAGACTTTTCTTTTTGTTTCGTTCTTATGTTTTTCTTCTTAACTATCATTCTGAGTCGTCACAAATCAGGATTCCAAGTTTCAAACAACTGTGTTTCATCAGATTTAAACTTAGAAACTCCTCCAACACAAAGTTGAGTCCTTATATCATTAGACCAAATGGTCAGTGCTACAAATTTAATCTAATTATAGTTTTTCCACTGTTCTCTTAGTGATCAAACAAAAACATCAAAAATTTAAAACCAATCAAGAAACGTATCATTAATGAATAAGCAGTCTTGAAAAATGAAACACACTAACCTAGTGGCGCCAAGACCAACATTGTGAGGGAATATGGTGGCACCAAACACATTACCATTCCCATGAACCGCATCAGTCCCATATATGAGGGGGATGCCAAGCCTCGACTCCAGCGCTGACCTCTGAAACCCATCTACCATATCCGCCCAGTCCGACGGAGAAGCCTTCTTAACCGGCAAGCTGCCCGGGGCACTGAATATGCTCCCTGCCATAATAATATATATACTCCATGAAGTCTACCATCAATTACGTGGGACAAAATAAAGGTCTATACCAGATAGAGAGAGAGAGTACCGATGGAGAGATCTTTAATGGCAGCTGAGGTGGCGACCTGGCGCTCGATTTGGGTCATCTGGCCGACCTTTTCTTTCAAAGTCATACGAGAAAGGAGTTGTTTGACGTGAGCTTCAATGACTTCCTCCTCTACTTTGGCCATCTTGAGCTAACTAACCAACCTCTTTCTTCTCAGCTGCTTTAATGGGTTCTTCTACTAGAAGTTGCAGTTTAAAGTTAGGTTGTAGTGTTCAATGATGTTCTATATATGATAATCCAGATGCTTTAAAAGCTCGAGCGAAGGAAACAATTGTTTTTTTTTTTTTTCTTAAATTTTTATTTATTTATAATTTTTCAAGTTTTTAATACTAGTGGAAAAGTGAAAAGGAAGAATGATTATTTTTAAATATCCTCCGTACACTTTGTATGTTAAATATTTGAAAATTATTCTTCTTTTCCGTTTGAGCGGGCAGAAGGTTGTGCTTTGTGGTCGTCCTGGTTCTTGTCCTTTTTTTTTAGGTATTCTAGTCATCTTCTGTTTCAAGAAAACACTGAACAAGTGTTGCCTTTTACTTTTGTGACTTGCCTTTTGTGAGGTAGTACGCATCAAGTGTTGTGACTTGCCTTGTTGAATTGTAAGTCTCTAGCTGATTAGAATTAGTGAAATAAGCTGTGAGTTTAATTGTGTATTCACTTGAGCTTTATTATTGCCAAGTGTGAGGCCATGAATGTAAGGCAAACAATGCCACGTGTGATGATCCTAGTAAATAGCTAGATGTGTGGCTGAGATCCTTTTTGATGTAAGAAAAATGATCCAGCTATGATTGCTAACAGATATATTCCTTGCACGATGTGTGTGAGAAAGTTTTGTTTTATGAAGTAAGAAAGCAATATTCTCTGTTGCATTCTGGAGAGATGAGAGAACATTCATTCTCTTTGTGACCTTTGTATTTTTTCTTTCTGCTTTAATCCTCTTCTTCATTTTCATATCCATTGAGACTCCATAAACCAGAATCAAAGAAACACTAACATGCCTCTCTCTCTCTCTCTCTCTCTCTCTCTCTCTCTCCATATATATATATATATGTATAATTATTCATGGTTGTAAGTGTTAGAATATTAGGAAAATTTGGTAAATGTGGCAGCGATTTTCATCCCACAAGAATATTCATCTAAGATTTCGTCTTCCCCTTTGTCGTCTATTTCTCCTTGCAAAACAAATCGGAATAAGAGGACCACACCTCGGGGTGTAGGCCAAAGACCCCCCGATGCCTAAGTTAGTTCGAGTGTTTGTAGGAAAACAATAGCTAACAAAAGTGTACGGAGTTGTATGTATGGTTTGAACCGGGTGGCTGTAGCCTTGCGTGAGAGAGAGAAAGAGTTATGGCGGCTAGGGTTTGCGAGGTAGAATTTCTGCAGTATTTTGAGACAGAAGTTTAGACGTAGGTTTAGAGTTACCTCAAGCCTTGGTGTAGCCATATATTTATAGGAGCCTCGGAGGCTAGGGTTTGGAGAAAAATAATCCTTGTTGGGAAAAGAATTATTTTCTAATTTTAGGAGATTTAAATCAATTAGGGATTTAATGAGAATCAAATCCCTAATTCAAGGCAAGAATCCCCAAATGGAAGGAAATATTTGACCTAGGGTTTTGCCAAAGTTCGGTTCCCACAAATCCCCCCTCCCCCTCCAAGTTTCTGATGTGGATTGATTGTTAGGCTGTCCAACTGTGTCTGGGCTTCCTTCTTGGATTTGGGCTCCCAATTGGAGTGGGCTTTTGACTGTTCTTGGAGTTGGGTTCCCAGTAGAAATGGGCTTGCCATTCCTTGTTAACCTAGGATGCCCAACTTGTATAAATGCAGGGTTTCTCTTCACTCTTCTTCACATTGCAAACTTAACTTCTCTACTTTCTAGCTTGAGAGAGATCTTGGAGAATTTGTACTGCTTGTCAAAGAGAGGAGTTGCCATGCATCCCATGATAAGTCAAGCACGTATATTTTTTCTTCGTCTTCTCTTTTTTGCGGCGAGGACCAGTCTAGTGGGACCAGGTTGGTTATCGTCATGACTGGTGGCTAAAGATGATTGGAGAGGCGGTGGCCGCTAATAGCTGCTGAGCGAGTATGGGAAGATGTTGATGATCTGCCCCCTGCCCAAGATGTTAAGAGATGGAAGCAAAATGGTCAAAACTCTGATGATTTGCTGGCTGGGTAGGAGGAGTATTTTGCCGAACCCCCCCTAAAAATAGAAGGCAGATGTCAAGTCTTCAAGAAATGAAGCTACAACTTTGCGGGCAAATGATGTGTCTTCATTGAGGAAGAAGCTAAGGATCCCTTCTGCTGAGAAGACTTAAGTAGGAGCTGTTCCGCGTCATTAGCTAGGGTTAAACATCTCATTGGTGCAGATAGCAAGGAGATTGGCAGTATGTGTAATACTTGGGATGTTCCACTCAAGCCTCCTGCAGACAAGCTTGGTTACCATGATCTGCTCTGTAAAGTGGTTTGCTCATGAACTAGTTCTCTTGTTGAGAGGCAAAGAGATGTTGATATTCCTCTCCGAGGTTCGAGTCGTCAGCACCAGTCAAAGGATGGAGATCGAACTGGGAAGTCTGCTCATCCGCTTAACCATCACAATCTAGCTATTGAGTCAAGAGCAGTCAAGCGTGGAGTTGATTCAGCGTCGTTGACTCCTTTAGAGGTGAGGATCGCAGAGGCTAAGAAGACGAGAAAGTCATATGCCTGGGCAAAGGGTTCTTTTGCAACGTCAGTGGCTGATCTCAATGTGGACAAGTTTAGCCCTGTTGGGGATGCATGCATGTCTGATCAGCTGAAGACGAACTTCCTGTCAAGCCTGTCCGCTTGCTTTAGGCTGGTTGATCATATCCATCAGGCTGGCGATCTTGATACCTTCTCAAGTTTTTCCTTGGAAAAACAAAGGGAAACAACATTTCATATGCTTTTTATTTAAAAAAAGTACTTTTTTGCTGCTGAAACTATCCAGAACTTATATGCTGGTGCCCCCTTTTGCTGCTGACTTGGTTAGTCGAAAAGATGCCTATTTCCGTATTGGGGGCAAGAATGCTGACATCTCCCTCAGTTATGACAAGCCTCTGGATAGATTTGGCTCTTATCATAAGTTTGCTGAAAAATCCAAGTTTGAAGCTATCACAGATGCGTAGAAGCTGATCTACTTGGACTGCATAAATGGGTATGCTCCCTTCTATGCCATTGAAGACGGAGACATCGAGATGCTCTGCCCCGACTTGTTTCCTGTGCAAAGTGAACAGGTTAATGCTGTGAACATGGAGGGAGCAGAAGAGCTGGCGGTCTAAGAGGCGATAGCTGCAGAGGATAGAGCAGAGGAGCAGTTGATGAGGTGGTGGTAGACATAGTGGATCAGGCAGACGGAGTTGCTGAGAGCATGGCTGATTAGGCGGATGCTAAAGAGACTGTAGATCAGGGACCTTCTGCTGGAGTCTCGGAGTAGATAAAGACTCCTTTATTTCTTTTCAGCTTTTGTAGTATGCTTTTTTGTTTAGAATAATTAGTCTTGCATGATCGTCTTCTTTTTGTTGAACTTAGCCGGTTGGTAACTTTGCTATGGAAATTTTAGTTGCTTTTTCTAACTTCAATTCGCATAGTGTCTTGTGAATTGCTTGAGTGTTTCTGGGTTGTGGCATGTTTGGCCAACATCCGGAGATGTATCAATGAGAGTGGACCATTTGGCCTACGTCCGGAGACGTGTTGATTACTGTGACCCGTTTGGCCTACGTCCAGAGACATGTCGATGAGAGTGGCCCGTTTGGCCTACGTCGAAAGGCTTGTCAATGAGAGTGGCCTATTTAGCCTACGTCTGGAGACGTGTCGATTAGTGTGACCTATTTGGCCTACGTCCGGAGACGTGTCTATGATAGTGGTCCATTTGCCCTACAGCCGAAGACGTGTCAATGAAAGTGGTCCGTTTGGCCTACATCCGGAGACATGTCGATGAGAGTGGCCCGTTTGGCCGACGTCCGGAGAAGTGTCGATTAGTGTGACCCATTTGGCCTACGTCCGGAGCCGTGTCGATAAGAATGACCCGTTTAGCCTATGCCCATAGACTTGTCGATAAGAGTGGCCCGTTTGGCCTACGTCCGGAGACGTGTCGATTGGCTCGTTTGGTCACCATTTGAACACGTGTCAATTATTGTGACCCGTTTGGCCTATGCCCAAAGACGTGTCGATAAGAGTGGCCTATTTGGCTGACATCCGGAGATGTGTCGATAAGAGTGGCCTATTTGGTTGACATCCGGAGATGTGTCGATAAGAGTGGCCCTTTTGTCCTGCGTGTGGAGAAGAGTCGATTGCTCTCGTGAACACTCCATTGGAAAGAAAAGCTTGAACTTGTATTAATGTCTGTGTGACTAAATTGCTTTATTGAACAAAACAGATGAGTTTTATAGGTAATATGAAAAGTAACTTGTCTTCAATGGAGGTGAGGGAGGCTTGGCCGCCTTCTTGGAGCCGAGTTGATAAGTGAGGGAGGCCTGGCTCAGCCAGTTGATCTGCTTGCTTGGAAGACTTCTTCGCGGCGATCTGGTCATCGTCCTAAAGTGTGTAGCGCTCTGTTATTGCGAAGACTTCTACCAGCGTTTGGCAGGGAGAGATTGTCAGCTCGTGATATAGCTCACACTCAGTTGACAAGCCCCTCTTGAAGGCCGATGACAAGATTCGATTGTCACATCCAATGATGTTTCCCCTTTCTACTTTGAATCTCTTGATGTAATCTCGGAGGGATTCATTGGACTTCTTGTGCAGATTGAACAGGTGGTTTCTCTCTGACTGACCAGTCTAGGATCTCTCAAAATGCTCGTCGGTATGCTCGTGGATCCTTCTCACCTTGTCATGGGTTCCAAGGTCAGGGCCTTGATTTAAGTGATCTGCCTGAGTAGTTGGCCAATTAGATTGTCTTGGTTGTCGACCCTCTGCGTGAGTTGATCAACCCGTGAATTAAGACCCACTTGACTGTGTAGGTCGGGTTGAGAGGTCTGGATTGGGCCCAATGACATATGGGCTAGAGCTCCATTAGATGCGCACACGGGTGCATATGTCAAGTGTGGTTGCAAAGGAGGGAATGTTCAGATTTGTTTCAAAATGGCACTATCGCGTGGTTCTTTCGGTGGCAAGGGGGAGGAGGCCACGGGGACATGGCTTGGTGCTGCCACGAGTGGTGTGGCAATTCCAGCCTCTATTTGGTGGTTCACGGG